AAGCCATAACAGGTTGTAAATGAACAACAATGCATTGTCCCTGAAGTGCTTTATTACAGTAGAATTCTGTTATATACAGTATGTGCATCAAAGGCGTGTCTTTTCATCTTCCTCGTCCGTTGACGGGAAGAACGACTCTGTGAACGATTCTGTGGGGAAAACCTGAAATTACACTTGAGAAATCACCAATACTTTTCAACTTGTGCTTAGCACGTGTTTACTCGGACCCTACTTCTAGAAGGGAGCCATCTTCTAGAATAACCTTCTCAAGAATTAGGTTGGCCCATAAGTAATGGCGTTTTTTGTCACACAAATTTTTATATGGAAAATGACAATTGTTCCCAATATGTTCTACACTGTTTGATAGATAATTTTCCGCACTATAAGAAGTATAATTGCCTTCTTACTATTTCTCGACTTGTGTCGATTTTTATTTCATTGAAAGGGAAATTCGGGTCGACCCAAAAGTGAGTTTTCGACAACTACTTTTTGAATTTTATCTCGGCTCTCAATCTACAGAAGAAGCTCAAACCCTTGTGGTATATATGACAAAGAAAAAGATGCGTCTTATGAAGGTTTGAGGTGATTCAAGCGATCAAGAGTTTTGAGTTTGGACCTTGTAAAAGAGCATCGCGTGGGGGGAGGGCCTCTTGGGGAGGGACTGCCTGCAGAACCTACCCACTTATTTTCGAACGTCTAACATCAACTGAGGGTGGTGGTTGATAATGATAAGGAAGCATTCTATGACCTCTAACGATTCCTCAATCTTTGGCATGAATCTCCGTGAATAAGGTAATTCCGTAAGCTCTCAGTTGGACAGAATAGGGCATTAGGTTCGATGCTTGTCTGTGAGGTCGAAACTGAAATCTTCGAATCAGAGAGACGTAGCCTTTCAGCCATATACTCAGCAGCTGGGCCCATACGGTTTCAGCTTTTTAATTAGAGGTGTAAAAGAGAGGCTGTCGAAAATGCTCAATTCGACACTCGACACTCCAGTTTGAGCACTTAAATATTGGTGGGAGAAACTTGAAGAAAACTAAGAAGACTGTCGTGTAGGGCAAGGAATTCTCTGCAAAATGGTATAAAACTCGATGGCAAAACTTTTCTTCTTTAGCGCGATATTTCGAGTGGGAAAAAACGCCATTACTTATGGGCCGACCCAATATACAGGGAGAGGCAAAAAAAGACTTTTTCTTCCTTGACTTTCGAGGCGCTATAAGTTACACTTTATTAAATTTTTATCGGACATTTCTACCACCATATTAAAGAGCATATTAAATACTATGATACTCCGCCACAGCCTTCTGGAGGAGCGCCATCGAGAGATTCTGCCACGCGACCGTGAGTGGGTACCTGAGTTCAGCGAGATCGTTGATTTCCGCCACTGTAGACCACCCTATTGAACTCCGCCCGAGCCAAGTAATCGAGGGGGTTTAGTTCAGGTGACCTGCTTAGACATTCCATCTTTTCCAGGTACTCAGCGCCCTTCCATTCCAAGTAGGCGAGAGTTTTTCCAACGCCCTTCGATTCCCATAGTGTGTGTGCACCCAAATCGCTGTAGCAGTAGTACAAAGTTTCCAAGAAGGTACGGGCGACGACATATGGGGAGGATATTCAAGTTGCTCGATGTAACCGCCAGCGCTTCCCTTTCAGTCCGGGGTCGAAAAATATTGGTCTTTCCATTCCAGGCACGTCGCGTTCCCCACCAATCATCCCTCGATCACCGGCGCCTTGGCGACCGCGTGAAGATGATGTCGCTAGACCCGTAGCGACGTTGTCGGCAGCTGCTTCCATCTCGACAAACTTTTGGCTGTTGTCGCTTTTTTTCGTTCCTTATCACTTGTTATCAAGTTTAAAACATAGCGGAATACCGTTAGGCATATATTGCATCATAAAAGTGCATAATAGACGTGGATAAAATATTTTTTAATTGTATAATATCAAATCTCACGTGTTCATATCCGGCGCGCCGCAAGTCAGCGTCACCAAGAACGGCGTTGGCCACAGGACCGTTTACGCAAAAACGCTCGCGTCCAATGGCTTAAATGAAACTCTTCCGAGCGCGCCCAGGTTTAAAAAACACGCCCGGGTTAAAAAACCCTCCACCGTGATCAGTCCCTTCTTCAAGATGCAGCACTCATTATTCCTCCATTCGAAATTGTAATGGACTATACAGTGGGGAGGAGGGACAGCTTATGTGGAAATCAGTATTCCTACCCTCACAGACGGATCTGGTACCAGTTAACCGTCCCTACATGTAGGAGAGAAGGCCTGGCAAGCCCACGCGCAGCAGTGACTTCACCTCTTGACTGCACCTCATCCCCAGATATTTGTTTCAAGTGCTGCATGTGATTCCACTTTCTTGGTCACGAACTTGATTGAACTAAATCGGAACTAAATGGATGGAGGCAGACAAACCTTGTCGTTTACTAGCGTAATTGCATTAGCGACCTCGTTCTCATCACTTCGTTCCGGCATCAGATCGAAAATTATCTGCGCCCATTTGGTAGTACGGCCTGAAAATGAGTATGATCACCGGCTAGATGATGCTGAAGCGATGGTAAGTATAAACAGACTATTCGCTTTTGTTACGTATTCCGTGTACGTTGTGCTTGACGGTAGACCTCGACTGAACAGAAATACCCAGTAGAACGCGAAACCACCAACCCATATGCCTGAAAATGTTATCATACAGCTTTCCCAGTCAGGTTTGATGGATATGGCCAGTAATGACGTCCCACAAAACCTAACCCTTTCTGACCTTTAGTCACTGCTCTATAGTGCTGCTTGCATATAAAAGGTAATTCCCATTGGACGCAAATGCTGCACATGGAAGATAACGCGCGCGGAGTAAGGAGACGGGGTATCTCTTCCGCACCAGGGTACAGCACCGCTATG